TTTTTTTTTTTTTGCATTTCCTATCCATTTGTCTCTATCTCTCAGGGAAGGAAGAAAACAAGATGAATCGTCTCTCATGTCTCCCATCTGAAGAGAGTTTAAAATGGCAGGCTCATGACATTTTATTTCGATAACTTTCTTGCATTATTAACCTGCCATGCACTTAAAATTTTATTTGGTTAAGTTCCTAGAATTATTAATTTTTCATTTACTTTGGGTCAGTTTCTACTTGTAAGAGTATCATCAAGTTTGTTTCCGATTAACAAAGAACACAATTAGATTGATAAGAAGAATCCCCGACTGTGGTTAGAAGAGAGTGCGCAAGTATGTGTCACATTTGTTGAAATCTGATTTTTTTTCTCCAACATTCTTGCCTTTTTTCCTTGACTTTTAGTTTTGGTNATGTGTCACATTTGTTGAAATCTGATTTTTTTTCTCCAACATTCTTGCCTTTTTTCCTTGACTTTTAGTTTTGGTGAAACTATCGTGTTCTTGGTGTTATTTGAATTTTATATTTTAGAATTTTATGTATATTATGTATCATTTGGTTGTCAACATGGTTATGTGGCATTTTAGTGGTTACATTTTGGANGTGAAACTATCGTGTTCTTGGTGTTATTTGAATTTTATATTTTAGAATTTTATGTATCATTTGGTTGTCAACATGGTTATGTGGCATTTTAGTGGTTACATTTTGGGTGAAACGATGATAATCTTTATCATTTGTGATGTTTTTTATTATGTTAGTTTGAAGATGTTACATTTTAGTATAATAGGAATTGATATTGGTATATATAAATTTTGGTTGTATGAGNGATGTTACATTTTAGTATAATAGGAATTGATATTGGTATATATAAATTTTGGTTGTAGTATGACTCGATGATTTTTTTTCTTGTTATGAATGGTTCACTAAATGTATGGTTTCAATATTGTTGTTATGGCCACAGCCCTCGCCTGGTCAGCAATTGTCCAGTATAAGTGGTTTGTGGGTCCCATTGATCAAAATTTTTTTTTTTCTTGTTATGGAATAATTATATTGTTTTTGGAATATTGTCATAATTTGGACTTGCCCTTCCATTTTTTAGAACCAAAACTATTGTATTTTTTCAAAGAAAATAACTTTTAGTGTAAATATATTTTCATATGAACAACATGGATTCACAAAAATGTTATTTACTGTGCATAAATAAGGGTTTAGGATTTTTTTTTTTTAACTAACATCAATGAATTTCAACACTAATTATTAGGAAAAGAAATTGTTGATTCCAAAAGCTGCACCACNATGAACAACATGGATTCACAAAAATGTTATTTACTGTGCATAAATAAGGGTTTAGGAAATTTTTTTTTTTTTAACTAACATCAATGAATTTCAACACTAATTATTAGGAAAAGAAATTGTTGATTCCAAAAGCTGCACCACTGGGTGTGAGATGATCTGACAATCGAAGATAAGTTCCTATAAAGAAAGTTGATGACCAGAGAGGTTCTAGTGATCGATTCTTCGATGATAAAATTAAAAAAAGTATAATTGACTGAATAGATTTATCTGTGAGAAGATTATTTATCTATTTCATGACGAGCATGATCCTTTTATAGACCGGGCAAATTGTATTGTTAGAATCTCTTAGATGCTTTTTAAATGATGCAGAGAGCAAAATAAAACACTCCCCATAAGCATCGCAACTGATTTAATTATTTTCTTGGAATATGAGCGACTAAACTGCTAGGTGGTCGTTAGAATCCTCTTATTATGGAGAGCTCACGTGCCTAGCTAGGTACCAAGCTCACGTGCCAAACTCCTTTTGCACGTGCTCAACTTATGAACAATTTATGTACATCAAAAATATTTTTTAATTATTAAAACTCAAAAACTATAGTACAAAAACAGATAACACAGAGACGACACGAAGAAAACCAAAATTTAATATCCACTTCGAATCCAATAACTACCAGAAAATGAAACTTGCGAAATTGAAATANCTCACGTGCCAAACTCCTTTTGCACGTGCTCAACTTATGAACAATTTATGTACATCAGAAATATTTTTTAATTATTAAAACTCAGGAACTATAGTACAGAAGCAGATAACACAAAGACGGCACGAAGAAAACCAAAATCTACTATCCACGTCGAATCCAATAACTACCAGAAAATGAAACTTGCGAAATTGAAATTCACCACCTCTTTTCCAAGTATACTNTCCATTGAATCTGAATTTCTGACTTCCAAAGTTGGAGAACCCACAAAGTGGTCAAGAAAAGTCATATCCAACATGATTTCCCATATTTGTATCCCATTCCTATTGAAGAGAATTAACTGGGAAGGACAGCAAATCCACCAGGTCATGTCAAGGGCAGTGTTAGACGATGAAGATGATATTGTGGAGTGTTTTCTACAATTTCTATGCTGCATCAGGACTGATCCGTATAACGAAGAACGCAAAATGCTGCCTGTGAATTTGAATATTGAGAAGCACATAACACTACCGGAGGGAGAATTCGAGAGGCGTGTTTCTAAGTATGATGAGCAGAAAAGTTTGGACGGTGAATTTGAGAGGAAATATAAGGACGCAATCAGCCAATCAAGGCCAGAAATATTTGGAGGAGTAATGTTATTTCAGAGCTAAAAATTTGATCTTATTTGTTGATATGTGATAATGTGGTTTCATTAGAACCATTGGATGAGGAGTAAATTTCAATGTTTAATAGGGCCCACAGTCAATTCATAGTAAATTGGGTCAATTGAGGTCAAATTTTTAGATTGAAATAACATTACTCATGTAATGTTATATGAATTTAAAAACTAGATTTAAAAATTAAACTCGATCATCACAATTATTAAATAGGTAGTGAGTCTCAATAAATACTAAAACTCACAGTGAAATTAATGGTTGTAATTATCAAGTCTAATTTTCAATAGGTTCAATACATCGTATAGCGCAGAGCTATATGGTGTGGGTGTTCATCACTAATAAAAAATTATATATCCGCTACCGATAGTTGTCACCTAAAACATATTCAATATTTTTTTTGAAAAACTTAACTTGTGTGCTACAAAAGCTATTTTTGTGGCAGCCTCGCATTGGATGCGGATACCATATGACACATGGTGTGTTAAACTCATGCAAAATTTTCTCGTGTTTTTTGGACCGGGGACCATAATTTAATAAAATTTGATTTGAAATTTCAACATGATTTCTTNAATTGTATTGTTAGAATCTCTTAGATGCTTTTTAAATGATGCAGAGAGCAAAATAAAACACTCCCCATAAGCATCGCAACTGATTTAATTATTTTCTTGGAATATGAGGGACTAAACTGCTAGGTGGTCGTTAGAATCCTCTTATTATGGAGAGCTCACGTGCCTAGCTAGGTACCAAGCTCACGTGCCAAACTCCTTTTGCACGTGCTCAACTTATGAACAATTTATGTACATCAGAAATATTTTTTAATTATTAAAACTCAGGAACTATAGTACAGAAGCAGATAACACAAAGACGGCACGAAGAAAACCAAAATCTACTATCCACGTCGAATCCAATAACTACCAGAAAATGAAACTTGCGAAATTGAAATTCACCACCTCTTTTCCAAGTATACTTGCACAACGGTTTCCGTGATTTTCTTTTGTTATTTTATTCAAGCAAACCGTGTGAAGAAAGAAAGTAGTAAGTATGGAGTGAAGGAATTAAAGGAAACTTCCAACAAATTGAATGATTTACACAATCCTAGCTAGTTCAACACTACTCCCACAGTCCTACTACATTCATCAAAGAAACCTTATCAAACTAGAAAACACAAATTCTATTCTTAGAAAACACAAGTCCCACCCCATTTTTCCACAAGCAAAAAAAAAAAAATCAACCTCATGAGTCATAAGTTGATTTGTTTCAACAAATTGATAATTTTTGGCATACCCTTTGTTCTATTAACCCAAAAAAAAAAAAGTATGAACATTTGTGCAGAAGTAAACGTTTGCAATCAATAGTCCATCCAAAAGAAAAAGAACAAAGAAATGTTGTAATTAAATAAAGCGAATAATCAAATTGATTATGAATTAATTTTTTTTAATTGAATTCGGATTTAAATTTAGATCGGTCGAAATTTAGTTTTTTCATAATACTACTTGTTGATTCAAAAGTAGATAATAAGGTCAAGAAATTTAAGATTGACCGACCATAAGAAACTTGGAATGCATCCTCATTTACTCACCCTCTCTAAAAATCATAATTCTATTAGGAAAAACATGAAGTATTAGGATTTGTATGGACTAGAAGTTTGAAATCAATAGTCCATCCAGAAGATTATTAATTTCAACTTTAGTTATTACTTCATCCATTCTTAAATATCTGTCGTTTTACACAATTTTTTTCGTTCCATAATATATGTCGTTTAATGAAATCAAATCATAATTAATATTTTTTTTTCAAATTTACCCTTAATTTTTCAGTGCATTAGATTTAGTAGATGATGAGTGCCTTTCATATTTCTTTCCTTCCCGATATGTATTGAATAAGAATATTTTAGTCTTGTGTAATTATTTTTTACTCAGCTATTTAATAACATCCTTAATCCCTGCGCAAAAACTTTAAACGACATGTATTTAAGAATGAAGGGAATAACTTATGTATATCTAGTTCTCTCTCTCTCTGAGATCAAGATGCAGACACCCACATTCTTGCCGCCCTTCGACTCCCATGACAACTACTTTGTACAAGCTTCCTCACAGCAGACACCAACATGGCTGCCACCATTGAACTCCCATGACAACCACCATATACAAGTCTCTGCACGGCAGATTCGTCTCCTACAGGACGACCCCAGGTTGCCCTTATCCCAGTTCTTGATCGAACTCAACGTTATCGTCGATTTCTACTCACAAGGCAAAAGTGTCGATCATCGCTTCCAAGGCCTCTGTACATGGAAAACAATCTGTATCCCTTGTGACTCATTGTCGAGACAGATGATATGTGAAATTATGCACGAGGTACCATTCCCATTAAGGAGAGTTCACTGGGAAGATCGAGAGCTTGATGGGAATTCATCAAACACCTTGTTAGAGGATGAGGATGCTTTGATAGAGAGAGTTTTGAACTCTCTTTGTTCCATGAGGGATAAGCCATACAATTCAGGGCGCAAAGTACTGCCTCTGCAATTAGAGATCAAGAAAAACGTGACGATACCACGATATGAATTCAAGGCATGGACTTGTTGGTACGACGGACAAAAGAGTTTGAATGTGGATTTTGAGAGGTACTATCAAAGAGCAATTAGTGTACCAAGGTCTCTAATGGAGTCAGATCAGTCTGAGATAGCCTCTGGTTTTAGATCAATTCCAGCTACTAGGTCAGCTATTGAGGCCTTGGAGATGGTGAGAGTCGACGAGTCAGATGTCTGCAAGGAATTGTATTTGTGTCCCATTTGTCAGGAAGAGTTCTTGATGGGAAGTAAATTTGTTCGAATGCCTTGTTCTATGTTTCATAGAGAATGCATTACAAGGTGGTTGAAAGGAAGTCACTTGTGTCCATTGTGTCGCTTTGTGATGCCCCAAGGCTAGCTAGTAGATATTTGATCGTCGTCTTCTCTGTAATCTTTTTTGGCTCCTTTTTCTCCTTTTCATCCAAGCTTAGTATTTTATAGTTAAAGATGAATGTCTGAGTTCAACAGTTTTGTAATATTTAGAAGATTTTCATTCTTTTTTGGCAAAAGTAGTTCTTGCTAAATTTTTAAAATTTGTAGTTTCAGTGTTAACATTTTTTTTTTCAAAATACGGCGAGAGAACAACAAAGTTCAAACCCATCAGCATTAGGTCCAACAACTAGATGGTTCTCATTAGACCAATTGTTGAATTCTTGTTTCAATGTCTGGTTGAGGAAAAAAATATTAACCGTAACCGTTACACTAATTTTTTTTTTTTCTAGGAAAGTATAATTATATCAAGTTAACAGTACCACGTGATATAACAATTTACTAATACGTAAGTAAATCAGTAAATGAGTCCTAATAAAACTCATAACCACTCAACTATCTAATACAATACTACCTCTATAATAGAAAGTAAGTCCTATTTTATTCTTTTTGTTATTTTCTTATTGGATGGTTACACGCAGTATTTACTCCATGCAGAGACACCTGATTTGCGGTTATTCATGGTTTTTTTATTTTTCGTATTGAGTAATATTATCTAAATTAATTTATTAGCCTAATTTGTTGACTAAATTATTTATAATCATTGAATTGACAGTGAATCTTAGCATATGTTGAGACTCCCGATCAATCTAATAGTTGTGATGAATTAAGTTAATAAATTAATTCTAAATAATATTATTATATATATAATCTGTTGGAATTATTTTTCCAATGACATTACAGTCAACAAAAGAATTGTTTCACTCAAAGCCATAAATGCTTTGAACAATGAGAATCTGTAAGGTTTTACACTCGAGCAACTAATAATAATTATTAAATTAACAGTAAATTTTACACTCGAGCAACTAATAATAATTATTAAATTAACAGTAAATTTTAATATCGGTTGAGACTTATTACTTATTTAATAGCAGTGATTTATTAGGTCACGATGAACATACTAAGTTGAAATATTATTATCAAAAAAATGTTTACCATATTGTTTCGGATCAGTAGTCTCGGCCCACTCTGGGTCAGACCAGTGTTGTGGACTACATATTTTAAACTAGGCTTGGCCTGCGTTGTTAGTAATAGAATCCCAAAAATACTCATTTGGCTAGACATTAAAAAACTGCATATGATCCGTAGTGGTGATTGGGTGGCTGAATTTGACGTTTGATAATTCAGAGATTTCAAGTTTAATTCTTTCTCACATTCACTAAAGGCTATTCACTGTTATCTTTTTAAGGATATGCTCTAATTCAGTTAAAGTTACGGTGGCCAGTCACTAAATTCAAAAAAATAGTCGGTGTAAATCTAGACACCTTATAACATTAAAAAAAATGCATGCTATTGTTTTAAGTTGCATAGTTGTGAAATACTTGCTAAAATTAAGTTTGTCAATAGATTGAATTTTTGATCTAAATCTGAATCTAACTAGTCGGATATAAATTGATCATTTTTATTAAAAATTCGAACTTGAATCAGAATCTGCTATCATATATTTCAAGGATTCAAATATACCTATATCCGATTTGATTACGATCTGATCTGAAATATCTATATATTTATATATAAATATTAAAAAAATTACTTGAAATTTTGATGTTATTTATTAAATTTTAGTTTAATTAAGTTATTCGAATTGAATTTTAAATTTTTAATGGATTCGAATATAGACCATGGAAATAATATTCGTCGAATAATCAAATCGAAATCAGATTGGACTTATAAAATTGGATGTGGATTTGGATTGGTTCAAATCCAATCCATTAATAGGCCTAGCTAAAATAACCTAAGATTGGGCTTTGCCTAGCTTATTTGAANCAAAAAAAAAAAAATCAACCTCATGAGTCATAAGTTGATTTGTTTCAACAAATTGATAATTTTTGGCATACCCTTTGTTCTATTAACCCAAAAAAAAAAAAGTATGAACATTTGTGCAGAAGTAAACGTTTGCAATCAATAGTCCATCCAAAAGAAAAAGAACAAAGAAATGTTGTAATTAAATAAAGCGAATAATCAAATTGATTATGAATTAATTTTTTTTAATTGAATTCGGATTTAAATTTAGATTGGTCGAAATTTAGTTTTTTCATAATACTACTTGTTGATTCAAAAGTAGATAATAAGGTCAAGAAATTTAAGATTGACCGACCATAAGAAACTTGGAATGCATCCTCATTTACTCACACTCTCTAAAAATCATAATTCTATTAGGAAAAACATGAAGTATTAGGATTTGTATGGACTAGAAGTTTGAAATCAATAGTCCATCCAGAAGATTATTAATTTCAACTTTAGTTATTACTTCATCCATTCTTAAATATCTGTCGTTTTACACAATTTTTTTCGTTCCATAATATATGTCGTTTAATGAAATCAAATCATAATTAATATTTTTTTTTTAAATTTACCCTTAATTTTTCAGTGCATTAGATTTAATAGAGGATAAGTGCCTTTCATATTTCTTTCCTTTTCGATATGTATTGAATAAGAGTATTTTAGTCTTGTGTAATTATTTTTTACTCATATTAGAGCTATTTAATAGCATCCTTAATCCCTGCGCAAAAATTTTAAACGACATGTATTTAAGAACGGAGGGAATAACTTATGTATATCAAGTTCTCTCTCTCTGAGATCAAGATGCAGACACCCACATTCTTGCCGCCCTTCGACTCCCATGACAACTACTTTGTACAAGCTTCCTCACAGCAGACACCAACATGGCTGCCACCATTGAACTCCCATGATAACCACCATATACAAGTCTCTGCACGGCAGATTCGTCTCCTACAGGACGACCCCAGGTTGCCCTTATCCCAGTTCTTGATCGAACTCAACGTTATCGTCGATTTCTACTCACAAGGCAAAAGTGTCGATCATCGCTTCCAAGGCCTCTGTACATGGAAAACAATCTGTATCCCTTGTGACTCATTGTCGAGACAGATGATATGTGAAATTATGCACGAGGTACCATTCCCATTAAGGAGAGTTCACTGGGAAGNCATGCTCTAATTCAGTTAAAGTTACGGTGGCCAGTCACTAAATTCAAAAAAATAGTCGGTGTAAATCTAGACACCTTATAACATTAAAAAAAATGCATGCTATTGTTTTAAGTTGCATAGTTGTGAAATACTTGCTAAAATTAAGTTTGTCAATAGATTGAATTTTTGATCTAAATCTGAATCTAACTAGTCGGATATGAATTGATCATTTTTATTAAAAATTCGAACTTGAATCAGAATCTGCTATCATATATTTCATGGATTCAAATGTACCTATATCCGATTTGATTACGATCTGATCTGAAATATCTATATATTTATATATAAATATTAAAAAAATTACTTGAAATTTTGATGTTATTTATTAAATTTTAGTTTAATTAAGTTATTCGAATTGAATTTTAAATTTTTAATGGATTCGAATATAGACCATGGAAATAATATTCGTCGAATAATCAAATCGAAATCAGATTGGACTTATAAAATTGGATGTGGATTTGGATTGGTTCAAATCCAATCCATTAATAGGCCTAGCTAAAATAACCTAAGATTGGGCTTTGCCTAGCTTATTTGAATGGGCATTATTGAATATATTGTGGGATTATTGATCATTTGGAATTAGATCATGTAGGTAGGTTGAGACAAAAGAGATTAGGAGACACATAAATTCATATCCTTCTTTTGCCTTAATAATTTTTCTTTTTGGAAAGTTGAAAATAGTTGCCAATTCAATATAACTACTAACAAATAACAGCGTCGAAAATCATTAAAAAGCTGCAAAATAACTCAGCAGCTACACAATGCACAGTAAAATTACAATGCTCGAACCAGCAAATGGGCTGAATCCTTCATAGCTTCTCAAAATGACAATCAACTAAACTTGCAATTATTCGTTTTGTAGAACATCAAGATGGCAGTTACTTGCCCTTACAACATTACAAAGAACATGAGAAATATTAACATACACCGAGAAAAAACAATGACAAGTAGACATGTAATAGGGAATAGTCTACCTCTCTAGACATTCTTGTTTTCAGTTGAACTCATCAATTGTTGGCAAATAAGAAAGTTGCTCTCCATGACAATCTGCAAACAACAACATAAATGAGAAAGTCAAGTGACATAATGAGCAGCAGGGGAACACGGTTTAACACGATAGCTGGTTTATTTTGGACGGAAAATGTCCCTATACCGGTGGATTTGGGATGATATGAAAACAATTAGCATAACTTTAGTTAGTGTTCATCCAAAATTTAACAGTTATATGGGTTTTGGGCAATGTGAAACTAATCAATATAAAAGAGTAGATGATGTGGGAAAATTGATAGGAGAGAAAGTACTGTGAAATCTGGGCCATAGAAAACTGAACATAGAGTCAAGAAGAGACTAGTGTCATGAATGGAACCTTAGATAAGCAATTGGGTATAGACTCTGACCTCATCCTCATCCTTAGCAGAAGCCCAACTTAACCTGAACTTTATTACTGGATCAAAGGACCATCAATAATTATAAACACGGGATTTCAGCGATCTTGGGCCAATCTGCTCCTTTATCCTTCAGACACTGTTGTTCAAGAAGTGGACAGCTCTATATGGTCAGACTTGAGAGTGTGGCAAGTGTCCTTTCGTTCGGCAAGGAATGAAGATTATTGAGCCTTTTAAGCCAAGAAGAAATACATTGATGTGAAGCTTTGTTTCCTGCAAAACCCAATTAATAAGATAATATTAGTCCCAAATCCAAAGAAAAACCTCTAGACTGATCAACTAAAGAAATAAAAACAAAACACTAACAGTAACGATATCGCCCCAAACAAAACAATAAAGTTTGGAAAAAATTCGAGTTAAGATTGAGAATCTAAAATAAACACACCGCGTCTAAAGCATGGTAGGTTGCCTCGATTTCATATACTGCATCAAAGCTGTTGTCAAGAAATGGCATTTTCATGAAATCGGCCTGCATTATCACTAATCAATAATCAAAACACTGGACAAAAAAGTTCAGAACAGATCGCAAAGTTGAGATAGACAACTAATTACCTCCACAAAGTTACAGGTCTGGTCCACTCCTAAAATGCCAATAAGCACAAGTGGAATAAAAGGAGCACTTAAACTGTAATGTTTGCAAAACAAGCATTTTCAGTTACAATGTAGCAGAGAAATAGAATCTAGGAATTGAAACAATTAGAATCCAATATAATCCCCCTATAAGTTCAACATAGTCAACCTTGTGGAACAAGAATTTGAAGTTGATACTCGATATTGCAAAATCTCTGGGACAGAATCCTCATAGTGTAGAATTAACCTTAGGACTGCATGCAGCAAAAGCTATCACAAACATATCTCATATTCTGATCCCACATTTAGACGTAAGAATGTACCTTTCCCTATGCTATTTGATTTTCATTGTTTTTTAGGCCTGTGACTGATGTAGTGCTGCAAGTTACCAATACACAAATCAGTCTCAGCCAACTCTGGGAAACAATAGAATGAATGAACTAAAGGAACTTCCAAAACCTTTCCAAATAGAGTTGAAAACACAAGAAAAGCTAAAGGCAACAGTACTCCGATCACACCAGAGATAAAGTTTACCAATTATCAGTCATATCTTCCACAACTAGCTCCACTTTTCATTTTTCAACCCCTTTATCTGAATTTTTATTAGGAAAAGAAAGTGAAGTAGCAGTAGTACTATTCCTTCAAAATGTAGCGGGCAGGTCGGCCCGAGGCCTTCCAAATAAAACAAAATTTATAATAGACACGTGTCTACTTTTACGAAAGAACNAAATCGGCCTGCATTATCACTAATCAATAATCAAAACACTGGACAAAAAAGTTCAGAACAGATCGCAAAGTTGAGATAGACAACTAATTACCTCCACAAAGTTACAGGTCTGGTCCACTCCTAAAATGCCAATAAGCACAAGTGGAATAAAAGGAGCACTTAAACTGTAATGTTTGCAAAACAAGCATTTTCAGTTACAATGTAGCAGAGAAATAGAATCTAGGAATTGAAACAATTAGAATCCAATATAATCCCCCTATAAGTTCAACATAGTCAACCTTGTGGAACAAGAATTTGAAGTTGATACTCGATATTGCAAAATCTCTGGGACAGAATCCTCATAGTGTAGAATTAACCTTAGGACTGCATGCAGCAAAAGCTATCACAAACATATCTCATATTCTGATCCCACATTTAGACGTAAGAATGTACCTTTCCCTATGCTATTTGATTTTCATTGTTTTTTAGGCCTGTGACTGATGTAGTGCTGCAAGTTACCAATACACAAATCAGTCTCAGCCAACTCTGGGAAACAATAGAATGAATGAACTAAAGGAACTTCCAAAACCTTTCCAAATAGAGTTGAAAACACAAGAAAAGCTAAAGGCAACAGTACTCTGATCACACCAGAGATAAAGTTTACCAATTATCAGTCATATCTTCCACAACTAGCTCCACTTTTCATTTTTCAACCCCTTTATCTGAATTTTTGTTAGGAAAAGAAAGTGAAGTAGCAGTAGTACTATTCCTTCAAAATGTAGCGGGCAGGTCGGCCCGAGGCCTTCCAAATAAAAAAAAATTTATAATATACACATGTCTACTTTTACGAAAGAATGTTCAAGAAATACCTACAAAGTTTTTGTAATATCACGTAATGCTATTTCCAATATCCAAAAAGATAAAAAGAAAGTTCCATTTAGTGGAAAAATTGTCACATTTGAGAAAGACTTTCTCGCGCTCTCTCTTTTTCTTATTAATAAAGGAGAGACTATATGCACATTAATGTCTCTCATTGATACTACATATTAATAAAGCCTCAATTAAATCGGCTTATATTTGCGCCAGGTTGTACCTCAGAGAGCATACGAAAGTAATTCCTCTATCCTTTGAGCATTTTTTCTTTTTAGCTCCAACAATGATCAATGTGTTTTCTTCGATATCGAAAGCAAGTTTCTCATAACTTCAGTAAAATGTAAAGTCCCTTTATGCCAGAAGTGCATCCATGAAAAGTAGCTGATCTCATTGCAATGATAGCCCAATTTTTGAAATTACACAATCTATGGGTTGATGGATGTTACAGAGAAATTGTTTTTGTGACTTGAACACATGGCGTCTAAGTCACAATAAGCAACTTTCCTACTATATTAAGGCTCGTCCTCAGTGTAAAATAAAAAGGAGATATTAAAAATATAAAGACCAAATAAACAAAGTGTGCACAAAATCCCAATAGAGTTGAGAAGACTTCCCCACATTAAGCAAAATGGGAAAAACTAGACATAGACAAGCAACTCACAAACTTAACCATGAACAATCAGACTACAAGACTAAAGCCACCTAATGTAGCCTAGGAAGGGAAAGATGGATGAGAAGGGAAGAAGAAAGGGATGAGAAAAGGGAAAGAACTTAGAACAAAAATAATATCAATATTCAATAATAATCAAAATCTACCAAAAACAAATACCATATCCCCTATATATAAGAGGAGCACAAACCCTAAAGTAAATTAATAGTCAAAATGACAATTAAGCCCCTGAAAAATAAAATGACAAATAACTCTTAATCTCTACGTCTGCGTCTACTATAACGAAATACAATCTGATTCCTATCACCACCTCTCATGATCAGTCATAGGCCTAGCATAATGTATAGTGTTCAAAACTTCCAAAAAAAATTATTTTTCGGTGTCGTAGTCTTATCCTTTACCCAAAGCCAAGTATCAAGGTAGGGGTTAGTCCACTGCAAGATCTCTCTTCCATATAACCTTCACAGGTAAAAAGAAATTGTCCCTCGTTCTAGTCATATTTGGTGGTCTGCTTCAATATGACAGAGAGAACAAATAAAAAATCAATATTTTGCAACTCACCTCAAAACTTGCTAGCTTCAGAGCTTCAAGGCACTGCCTCATCAACCTGATGTCAAGGAGGCATCAACAATCTGCATTTTTTGCCGGTTTTGATGAAATTGTGATAGGAAAGAAGAATTCAAAAACAATTTACAAATAAAAATTATCAAAAGAAAAATTATGGTTTTTGTACTACCTTTTTGATGATCTTGGATATTGTGGTCAAAGGAATTTGTCATACACCACTTGTATGAGACAAAGCACTGACCAGGCTTCAGTACCTTCTTTGTAAGCAACCAAACAACCTTTAAACAAAAATGTATGCTAAGCAATTTACCAAAAGTGAAATACTGGGAAAAAACATGTAAGAGTTACGATATCATCGCAGGCAAAAAAAAAGTATGGAAAAATTTAAAGTCAAGATAGAGCATATAAAATTGACAGACCGCATCTGGAGCATGGTAGGTATCCTCGATTGCATATACCGATTGCCAAAACTACTGTCTGAAAATGGCATTTTCATGGAATCAACCTGCATCATCACTAAAGCAATAATCAAAACAATGTATAGAAAAGAATTTTAGAATAGAGCATAAATTTGTGATAGAAAACTAATGACCTTTAAAAAGTTGCAGATTTGCTTCAATCCTGAAAAATGGTTAAGTATCTGTATAGTAAAAGGAGCACTTAAACTGAATGCTTGCAAAACAAAGAGAATTTTCAGTTACAATGTTAAAAAGAGCATAGAACATAGGAATTGAAACAATGGGCAGTATAATCCCTATTTAGTTTTTGAGTTCAAGGTCCAAGCAAATCAGAAGTTCAACATAGTTGGCCTCGCGGAAGAAGAGTTTGAAGCCGATATTGCCCAATCTCTAGGATAGTATCCTTATACAACACTTCAAAACATTATGATATGCTGGAAGAACTGTTGGAGATGTATTTCCTTTTTTCGAAAAGTAATGTAGATGTATTTCTTCTCTTTTTTTAGAAAGTAATTGGAGATGTATTTCATTTTTTGGGGCTGAGTTTTTACCAAATTTTGGTAAATGATGTACTTCACATAATGAAAGGTAAGCATGACCAACCTCATTGTTTAAGTGCTCATTAAAATAGTTCTCACGACAATTTGCACACACCAACACAAATAAGACAATGGAGCAACAGTGGCAGGGAAACACATGCCAAAATGCACATTGAGTTGAGCATTGTCAATTGGCTGGCTTCAAGACCACAGAATCGTTCAAAGGTTTTACCTTAGGAGGAATTGTTGGTTGATATGTAAAGGTACATAAAGCTCTTTGCTTTGGAGGTTTTGAATAAAAAAAATGGCAAACAGAAGCCTGCAGAGATGGAACAGATGAAAAAAAAGGAAAAAAATGGCAAAATAGGATCTGGAGAAAAAAAAAAGAATAGAGAAAAGGGAGCTATTAGAAAATATAGCTGAGGTGATAAATTGGAAAAATTGATAGCAGAGACGTAAATTGGAAATTCTGGGCGATAGTTTTGGTGTGCTAGCTACACTTTAATCCCTCAAAAATAGATAATAGAGTCAAATAAATAAATAAATAAAAAAGAAGAGGCATGTGTCATGAATGGAAGGCACCTGAACCTGAGATAAGCAAGTGGGGATGGACTCTGAACTCATCCTTATCCTCCCTCAAAAGTAATCCAATTTAATTTCAACTCTGTTGAGATATATCAATCTCGGGGATGTCAGCGATCTTGGGCCAATTTGCTCCTTTATCCTTCAAACGTTGTTGTTCAAGAAGTGGACACTTTGTGATGGTTAGCCTTGAGAGTGTGTCGAGTGTCCTTTGGTCAGGCAAGGAACGAAGATTAGGGCAATCTCCGATATACAGTTCATCAAGAGAGGACAGGTTGTGGATACCCTTAGAGAGAGAAGTGAGGTTATGCATGCCTCTGATGGAAAGTGTTGTTAGAGTAGAAGGAAGCCAACACTCATCCGGCAAGGAATGTAGCTCTGGATACACTCCACTCATTGTAAAGTATCAAAGAGAAGAGAGTCTATGGAGGCCAAACTCTGATAGAGGCTTCAATTTTTTGCAATTTATGATAGCAATTTGTGCAAGGTTGGGGGGCAAATTCTCTTGAGGAAAGGACTCAAGATTATCACAATAATACATCCACAAATATTCAAGGGATGTGAGGCTTTGAAACTTGCTTGCAAAATAAATGTCATTCGCAATACCACCGATAAAAAGACTTGTGAGGTTGGGAGTAAGCAAACTACTTCCAGTTGAGAACGGCTGTCCCATCTTATAAGACAATTCACAATAAAAAGGTCTAATAGATACAAATAACTTCTCCAAATTTGGCCAATCACTGATCCTAAAACACCCTGGCTCCTCCATGATTATGTTCAGTCTAATCGGCTCTAAAATTGACTCTAATTCCTTGCAATTACGAATCTCAAGTGACTTAAGGGTGGAGGAAAGTGTATCTACTGGCAAGGATCTCAGAGACGAGCACTCCTTGAGGCACAACTCCTCAAGACAAGAGTTGCAATTAGGCAGGGACTCTAGTGAACTGCAGTCTTTTAACAAAAGACTTCTAAGCATGGGCGGGAGATTGGCCTCTGGAAAGGACACGAGCTTTGGGCACTTTATGAGTTTCAATACTTTGAGAGAAGTATGGCTTTCCAGGCCATTTGGAAATCTCTCCAGACAATCACAGCCATATACTTGCAAAGATTCAAGATTACAAGGTAGCATTTGATCTTCTTCAGTCAAGCACACAAGTTCGGAACATCCCTCGACACTTAAGTGCTGCAAATTGGAAAGGTGTTGTGGTGCATTTCCCTTCTGCCATAGAGTCACTAGTGCAGCACAAGTACACACTTCAAAATTTTCAAGTGACACCAAGAAATGAGTGAATTCTTCCTGCAAATGGATCTATAATAGACAGTTCTCTTAGAGAGGTTAATTCAGTGAGACCTTTTAGAACCACCTCTCTACAACGTTCTATCTTTAATTTGCAAAGAGATGGAAATCTTAGGACTGAGACACTTACCAATTTAGGACAATTGGACATGGTAAGCTGACGAAGGCAAGAGAAATGTCCTAAAAATTCAGCACCAATATAACTACACCACTCTTTCCATTCTGGCATATCCTCAAAGCACAGAGTCTCGAGTGATGGAAATCGAGTCTCCAAAGTGCTACCATCCCCGTAGAACTCAGCACACACGTTCTTTACTGCATTCAATCCCTGAATATGTAGTTCTTGCACCAGAGGTAGCTGACCAAGTGGCGGCAAATATGCACATTTTGTACATCCTCTTAGACTAATCTGCGTTGTTTTTGCAAACGACAGATCCCCAATCCAACTGGGGAATGTTAAGCCCTTGTAAAACTCAACTTTGACACATTTCAATTCTTCATATGGTTATAGCATGTCAAGTAATTTGGCTTGGAGCTCTTCATTTTGAGAATCTTCATCCTCACTACTCCATAGCAATTCTAAATCATCAAGATCTTGTTTACGATTTAAATTGGTCTCCTTTGCATCCCGCACATTCGTAACATTTTGCAACCCTACAATGGAAATCATCTCCCGTAGAAGCTCTAGGTTGTTCAAATGGCTAAGTCCCAATCCACCACTTTTACACACAACAAACTTTTCAACTTACTAATCCCAGGGGGCATCTCTTGTAATTTTGGAGTATCAAAATTGCAAGATGACGGAGATTAACTAAATTTCCAATGTCTGTGAGCAACTTACAAAGCTCTCAACAATCACGCAACAACAATGTCTGCAAATTTTAGAGACCACTCACTGATTCTGACAACCATTTAATTTGTGTCCTTGATAAATTTAAGTAACGAAGATGTTTGAAATCGCCAATCGAGTTAGGCAACTCTCTTATATTGTACTCGCTCATAGATAAGACTCTTAAATACAGTAATTTTGACAGTATGTTGACTAAAACACCATTGCTTAAATAATAGTGCCGTCTGTTTGTTGGCAATGCTAAGAATGTCCGCAAGCGCAGAAGTTCATGATCAAATGCCTTGAATCTTTTGTACACTTCATAGTCATAGGGCATGAATGCCGAGTGGCGAGCCTTTGGAGAAATGTTACACCGTTCATTGCTGTCCATATAATCTTCCCTCCTAAAGCATATTTCTCCCGTAACATCGTAAGCCAGATCCCTCAGTTCCGCCAGCCACTGATTCATAGCTTCGTCCCTTATTTGCTTAGTCTCTGCATCGTTGAGCACCGCTTGAATAGTCCTCAGCACGTTGCGCAATTTCGTCACTTGGGTAAGAATTTCCTGACTGCCAGCAAATTTCAACAGATTGAAAGTGGCCAATTTCTCAACCAAAACGGTTATTACCGCAGTCAGGACAATTTCTATGATAGGCATTGTATTGAAGTTGAACAAATCTGGGAACGATGGGTTTCTTGTATCTCAAAGATGCTTAAGGTCTCAAGTCAAAGTGATGAAACCAGGAAGGAGTTGTTAGCGGTTTGTGCAAGAGGTCTTGGGTTGGGTCAGTGGTTTTTCATAGGTTTGAGAGGGACATAAGCATGGAATAGAAACACAGTTGTCTGCATCAATTGAATATTTCATGTAGGATTTGTAGGAGGTTGTTTTGTGTACCAAGTGATATTTTACAAAAAAAAAAAAAATACATATGTAAGAAATCCGTATGTGGTAACTACTTATTTGAGATTAAGTTCAGACTCAAGAAGACTAGTTACAATTCAAAGGGATTAAATTCTAGGGTTTAATTTTCAATTTTTTTGCTAAATTCACATTGATCTGATTATATACTTAATTGTACACACCTTTGATAATTGTTGATATAATCAAGTCCAACAAGCTAGACTTAAGCAAATACATCGTTGTTTCATGACCAAAGTGATGTTTCTTAACTTCAAAATTGAAATTTTCTACTTTCGATTCCATTCCTATCCCACTTTAGAAAAATATATAAAAAAAGAATCTATAAAAGCCTTAATGCATTCAGCACTTCCCCTCTTTTAGACTCTTTAATTCAACATTTTGCATAGTTTAAAGAGATTGGGGACTGCATTTTGTCGTTACTTTTTCTTGAACAATTGGAATCTTTTGGAATTTTTTTATTTTTCCCCAAATACTGTAAATAATAACTTAGTTGAATGATAAAATTATAATTATTTGTAATCGACTACGTAACGTTGGGATCAATCATAAATAATTTCAATTAATTACAACTTCCATTTAAAATGGTATAACTAGACATTTAAAAGTTTTTCATGATCGATCATAATATATTTTACGATCAATTATAATTTTTTGAGTTATAACTCAAACGCTCAAAAAATTATAATTTAATCTTAAAATATTAAAACTTCCAATACCGCGTATGCCCAAAAATTCAACATAAAAGAAAAAGGGAAAGTAGAAAGAGAAAAGAAGAGGCAATGGCATTGCTTTTTTTTTTTTTTTTTTTATGTGTGGAGACCAAATGGCCAAACTGGGCGGCGGACAAGAGGAAGTGGTGGTCCTACGCCGTCCACCACCATGAATGACGGGACCACAGCCCCTGGATATGACCTAGGGTGGCCTTATAAAAGAAAAAATAAAATTATTTTCATCTTTGTGCAAGTTACATGCGTATCACTATTGGTTTTTTTTTTCAAAAAAAACCATTGATGGGCATTTTCTCAAAAAAAGGGGTAAATCTCATAAATTGACCCCTTTTGTTAAGATTAATTGATAAATGATATAAATTTCGTTAATATTAACTGTTAGTGAAATAGAATTTGTTAAGTTTAATCGTTAGTTGTTTAATTAAATGATTAATCTTAACAGAATAAGCAATTGAAATAAATTACATAGTTCATGGGGCAATTTTAAACAAAAGTGATAGTAGATTTACCCAAAAAAAACAATAGTGTGCACCAAGGGGGCGTTCTAGCACAATACACCCTTGATATATGACTACGGAGATTTATCTGTCCCTACTCCAAAATTGAAGAAACATTATCTTGAAGAAAATAAGTTATTTATGCATCAAAAGGGTGTCCTAGAATAAAGCTATTAAATGATTTGATTAGTCCTAACTCTTCTTGATTTTAATTCGTTTAGATCTATTCAAATTGAAAAATATGTCAAATTAATCGGATTTCAAACTCATTTATTAAACTATACGAATTTAAGAAATGAGTGAGTCCGCTTAGCTCAAATAAGTTCATGGCTATAAGAAATTTTAAATTTATTGCCACACAACTCGTACTAGTAATGGGAACACCAAATTTTAATCCCCAATAACATCCCCATCTCTTCTCTTTTTAAGCTTCTAAGATTTGATTCCATGGAAAAAAAAGAAAGAAAGAGCATTTGATAATGATGAGAACATAATTTTAAGTATAGGCCGCTATGGCCATGGAGCCCAGAGCATTCTGCTTCGCCTGTTGGTCCAAGGGAAGCATATTTAGCCAGCTCGTATCAAGAAGCAAAGCCCAAAAGAATCGGCGGTCCGGCCCTAGCCGAAAGATAGCTAGAGAAGGAGAAGTCAAACCCTAACCTTAGACACATTCCACCACGCCACGCGTCCCAAAAGGATAAGAGGACCATTTCTGAAACCTATGACAGTCACACCTACCTGCGGGGAGTGGTGGTGCGTAATGACCCAGGCACAGTGAGTATAGTAACGTTGGCTGGCAGGGCTTTACTTGCAGGGCAAGGACGGAAGGTCTCCACAGAATCAACAAGCAGATAAGAGGAGCCGATGGGAACCCCTCCGGGGCGTTTGAACACCGAAGAATGTACGAGTTAGAATATAACTTCCTAAAATGGCCCAACGCCTGTAGGGTTACTTACCTCAAATAAAGGAATCAATATACAAGCTCAAGGAGTAAGAAACTCTATTACAGTGGATGTAACCTCAGTCCACCAGTTGGGGTGAACCACTTAACACCTGTGCCTCTCCCTACTGATTAGGCTATCTCTCAGTTCTCACCACCTAAATAAAACTCATCAACTCCCTGTCCACAACTGGACTTGGGCCATAATTTTCGAGACATCATCAGTTGGCGCCGTCTGTTGGAATGGTTTTTCATTGTTTCCTTTCTAATCTTTTGTTTATTTGATGGTTTTTACTCGAAACATGAGTAAAGCTCCAGACAATAGAACCCATCGGAGAACTTTCCGGTCCCAGAAGGAGACGTCGAGGATCGCCCTCCAGAGGCAAACCTCCCTCTTCCCAACGAACTAGAGGCTTATCGTCGAACAACGGTTCAACTAATGAGGCAGAACCAGGAATTGATGGAGTGGATACAGACACATCAGCTTCCTCAGATCCCGCCAGCACGGCAAGAACCTCCTCCACCCCAGGCCAATCAGGACGCCCCTCCTTAGGAGCGCCAAGCCCCACCTAACGGAGTCATCGAGCTCCATGAGCAGAGCCACTCTGGAGAAAATCATCGAAGGAGGTAACTTGGTGAACGCGATGAAGATGAGGCCCACAGCAGGGCCAGATCCACCTATCAAGAAGACAGGCCCTATCACCTTCCAGATGTCATGGACCATCATTTGGAGCAAAAACTCTATGAGCTCCAACGAGAGTTGGGTAATATGAAAGAAGTGGTTAAAGGAAGGACTCTTGACACCATGGATACCCTAGTCCAGCAGACTGAATCACCATTCACTCCCGAGGTCCTCCACTTCCCCCTTCCCCAGAAGTTCTGAACGCCGTTGATAGAGACATTCGAAGGAACCAAAGACCCAGTCGACCACCTAAACTCTTACAAAAAATAGATGGAGCTTCAAGGTTATCCTGATCCGATACGCTCTTGGGCATTCACCATCACCTTCAAAGGGTCGGCAATAGCCTGGTTCAACCGTCTGTAACCTGCATCAATTTCCTCCTTCAAGGAATTATCCATCCAGTTCGTATCATATTTCATCGAAGTAAGGACGTACAGAAAGCCTTCCTACCATCTTCTGAGCGTTAAGTAGGGGCCTAACGAGTCCCTTCGAAGCTATGTACATCGTTTCAACCAGGAATGCCTAATGGTGGAAAGTGTGGATGACAAGTTCGCACTGACCACTTTCATGTTTGGGCCCGGGATACAATCCAAGGACCTTATCTTTTCGATAGCGAAGAATCCTCAAGCCACCATGGCTGAGGTACTGGCGAAAGTCGAGAAGTACATCAACGGGGAGGAAGCCCTCTGTTTGAAAGGAGGCCCAACGCCGATTGAAGAAAGCAAGAAGAGAAGAGACCGTAGTCCCAGGAAAGAGGGGAAACATGATCAATCCCCGAAACAAGACCGCTCGCCTAGGAGAAGAAGAGAGCCCTCTCTGAAGAGGAGAGGCAACGTCCAAGACCGCCTGGGTCCGCCCCCACAGGACCTACATCCACGATTTACCCCAGCACGGTTGCCACCCCTTGTAACTTCCATCGCTTAGGTTCTTCACGAAGTCCAGAACGAAAGGTTCATTCGGTGGCCACCTCGAATGAAATTCGACCCCAGCAGGCGAGACCCCGCCAAGTACTGTGAGTTCACAAGGACACAGGCCATGAAACCAATGACTGTATCCAACTCAAGAAGGAGATAGAGTACTTAATACAAAGAGGCCACCTACGCCAGTATATGGCAAGGTAAGAAAGAGCCCAGAACGATCAAGGACGAGAAGCCCGGGCCGCCGCAGTGGCACCTCAGCAGCATCAACAAGCCCTTGGCAAAATTTGAGTCATCTTGGGAGGCTTCGCAGGAGGCGGAGAATCCAACACAGCACAAAAAATGCACTTAAGGAGAGCCCGATCGTGAGATTTTCTCAAGATCCAAGCCGTCACTAAGGTACCCCGCCGAGAGATGAAGATCACTTTTTTTGACACAAATCTCGAAGGATGCCAACACTCGCATGATGACCCCTGGTCATAAAGGCGATCGTTGCAAACAAAATTGTACACCGAATACTTGTAGACAACGGAAGCTCGATAGATATCATCTTCCTAATGGCCTTTGATCAGCTCGACATCGAAAGATCCAGGCTCGAACTCGTGAGAACCCATCTCTTGGGTTTCTTTGAAGAAAAGATCCTAACGACCGGAGCTATACAGCTCGTCCTGACAGTAGGAGACCAACCTTGCCAGGTTACGACCACTACACGCTTCCTTGTCGTTGAAGCACCTTTCGCCTACAACATCCTGTTGGGTAGGCCATCTCTTAACTCAATCAAGGCAGTTGAGGGATGAGCTGGAAACCAGACCCACTCCCACTGAGCAGCTAGTGCCTGTGCAACTGGACGAGGATCCAGAACACGTAGTCTTCGTGGGCTCTATGCTGCTCCTTGTGATCAGAGAGAAGATTATTTCACTTCTAAAAGAGAATCTAGACTCATTCACATGGAAGTAGGAAGACATGGAAGGATAGATCCCACAGTGATCGTACACCGCCTCAGCGTCGACCCTCACTGCAAGCCCGTGAGATAGAAGAAAAGAAGCTTCGTGCTAGAATGACAAAAGGCCATCAACGAGGAGGTGACAAAACTACTGCAAGCTAAGGCCATCAGGGAGGTCGCCTACCCAACCTGGCTGGCCAACGTTGTGCTTGTAAAGAAGATAAATGTTAAATGACAACTCTGCGTCA